ATTGTGGGAAAATTCTTCTTCTACCAATCCTTCATCACCTTACCATAGTCAACTATTTGTTCCTTTTATCCAAAGTAAGTAGGTTTATAGACCATCTGTTATTGTAGAATAAAAGTTCAGTCATTCCAACTCGCTAAGCGTGATTAAAGTAGTGATGACTAAGTTTTCATAATCATATTATTGTATGAAAACTCAACTACAAGTACATAAATCACCTTAAGGAAAAAGTTTGACTAAGTTTTTATTCAAGAATTACTGATAATCTCGGAGACTACTTTTATCGAAAATAAGTAGCTCAACTATGTGAGGCAAAAACTGGAGGTCATTTCAGCTAGAATGAGGAATGAAATTCAATGGCAGCCTGATGCTCACTCATTAGATTGTGTTGGAAAAGTCCCTGAATCTTCTTAAATGACCTAGACAGACTAAGTTAACATTGCATTTCGTTTGGAGTAGGTATTCGAGACTGCCAGTAAATCGGATCCACGAGTTATGTTCACCCTATTTCCTTTGACATGATGAAGGACTGGAAGTTGAAGTTTTCCACAATCATGTGAGTAGAGCTGAAGTGGACTACAGTTTCGACCTCGTCTAGGCCTTATCAACGCGTCAAGCTCACATTCTGCACTGCCATGGTTCGACTCCCGCTGGGGCTGTTGATAAGTCAAAACTGCAGTTAGTTCAGTCTCGGTGAGAACACCTTTGGGGAGAGCAAATTTATGTGAAATTGAATGAGAACGTCAGCTCTACTCACACGATTGTGGGAAAATTCAACTTTCAGTCCTTCATCACCTTAAACGAAATAGGATGAACACAACTAAGTTTTGTCGAAGCTATGAAAAACAGGATGGTGTGGTCTTTTGTGTGGTCGCGGTCTCCTTTCGATGTATGCAAGTTGTTTAACCCTGCGTTGGCAAGTGGGCCATATTGGCAGGAAGACCTAGAGGAACTCACCTCGTCCGGAGTCCATTGTCTGCATCTGATCATTTGCATTCCCAACCGTTTCGCCGGCCTCGTCAGTGAGATCGCCATTCTCAGCACCCCAAAGTAATCTCTGAAAAAGTACCAAGTCCACGCTCCGAGTCTGCACATGATCATGCATACAATGGGCTCCGGACAAGGTGAGTTGCTTTGGGTGTTCCTGCCAATATGTCCCAGTTGCGAACGCAGGGTGAAACAACTTGTACAACTAAATTTTGCTGTATCCAAAGGGTTGGAGTTGAGCAAGGAGACAAACTGGAGGGGACAAAGGGGCAAAACGGGACTTAATGGCCACTTGTCTCGTCAAGGTCCGATGAGCCCGAGGCAAGCGATCGTCGACAGGCGACGAGAAGACGATGTTCGAGTCCCAAAAAGACACTGAATTGGGAGACCCAAAATGAGGTGCATCTGCCCAAGTGCTCGGACAATTCTCATCTGACGAGT